AATGAACCACCAGGGAGCAGTTCGAATGGACCTGAATGCTCCTCGAGCAACATGAATCCTCTGAAGCGAATGCCACACCGCTGCAAACTCCCGTGCCGTGCTGTGAGCTCGACAGAAGGACGGATCCCACCGACCATGCCAGCCTGGTGACCACTTGTCACAAAACCCCAGCCGAGAGACGAGGCATCCGTGAACACATCGCGCGATTTCCCGGGGAGGCGACACGGCATAGAACCCCGAAAAACACGCAGGGGAAGCTGGCGACGCAGCAGCCGACCCGAGACCCCTGGGATCCGAACCCATCAATTGCGAGAGCGGCGGAAGGGACGAACCCGAAGAAACCAGAACATCCGCAGAAGCCAGATCCGACTCGATGGGTAGACCATCACGGCGAAGTTCAGGCTCCCATACAACTGCTCAAACAACCAACGTCTGACCCGGGTGCCCTCCAAAAACAGCCGGCATACCAGCATACCAACTTAGTGGTTCGTTATGGTGAACATGAATGTAGATACTTATATATAACGTGTATATACTGTACATTGTAATAACAGCAAAAGGAGTGTGGGGGAGAAGCCATTTTGGTGATGGGTGTGGCAACATCTGCATGATTTGTCATGTTGGTAGGGGTGGCCACTATGCTCTTTGGGCACTATACCGGCTTAGTTGAACAGTTATGGTGAACAAAACACGTAGATACTTGTATATAATGCGTGTATATAGGGTAATAACACAACAAACAGTATTGTTGGGGGTGAAGTTTTAGTGTGTCTGACCTTGAATGTGTGAGGGAAGCAGCCGACACTTGACTGTGTGTAGCGACGTCTCTTAGTGCCTGAACTAACTATATCAACTTAGTTGTACAGTTGTGGTGAACAAAACACGTAGATACTTATGTATAACGTCTGTATATAGTGAATAAAAGCAAAACCAGTATTGTGGGAGGAGAATGTGGGTGAGTCAGGTGAGTTGAGGGAGGGAGGAAGTAGCAGCCAGTGGCGGGCTGCCACTGGCTGCCACTGCCACTCAGCATACCAACTTAGTGGTTCGTTATAGTGAACACAAATGTAGATACATATATATAACGTCTGTATATAATGAATAAAAACAAAAACAGTATGGTGGGAGGAGAATGTGGGCGAGTGAGGTGTTGAGGGAGTGAGTGGCAGCAAGTGGCTGGCTGGTGTGTGGCGGTCACTCCTCGTTTCTTTTTGACTCATAATACAGTACCAACTTAGTTATTCGTTATGGTGAACAAAACATGTAGATACTTATATATAACCTGTGTGTATAGTGTAATAACCGACAAAATATTTGTTCACTGTTTGATGAACAAAATAATTGAATCAACAATATGCACACCATATTTTTGAGTACAGCGATGATTCACTCATTTTATTCTATACAGAGCACCACTTGGTTTCCGAACTTTAGTTATCCGAAACTTCCAGTTTCCCGATTGGGGTTGGGGAGTCATGCTACCCGAACAAAGTTCGGGTAGGAAGGGGTCCACCAAGCGTCACGCCGGCTTGTGGTGGTGGGTGGGCGATGGTCCAGTTTGCCCACTGTGACTTCACAGATTCACGGCCTATTATTCCTATTATTTTGAATTGCCATAAGGCTGGTATGTTCATTCTGTGCTTTTGTTTTACATATCTGCACAATCAAGAAACATCTGTGCACCATGTTGGCTCCAAATGCACCCATTGCGTCAGTGATGGCTGACTGGTGGGTGGATGGACGATGGAACTTAGGTGGGAGGCAGTATGAATGAGGGGGGGGGAGAGAATCAGTGAGAGAGGGGGGGAGAGATGCTAGGAGGGAGGGGGAGGTAGGGAGAGATGTTAGGAGGTAGGGAGAGATGCTAAGAGGGAGGGGGAGGTAGGGAGAGATGCTAGGAGGTAGGCAGGAAGGGATGGAAGTAGTGAGAATTAGGGAGGGAAAGGCAGGCTGGAAGGCACAGGCAGGCAGGCACAGGCAGGCAGGCAGGCAGGCTAGCTTGCAGGCAGGCAGGCTAGCTTGCAGGCAGGCAGGCTAGCTTGCAGGCAGGCAGGCTAGCTTGCAGGCAGGGAGTGAGTGGTAGTCACGCGGTTGAACCGCGTGACCTTGAGAGATGGGATGTAGGGGGGCGGGTGGTTTGTTGGTGGTGGGGGTGAGACCGGCTCATTCCCGAAGATAAGCCTAACACACACTACCCGTTAGCATGATGGCAGGGGGGGAGGCAGGCTGGCTGGAAAGGAAGCAGGCTGGCTGGCAGGCTGGCTGGCAGGCTGGCAGGCTGGGAAGGAGGCAGGCTGGGAAGAAGGCAGGCTGGGAAGGAGGCAGGCTGGGAAGGAAGCAGGCTGGCAGGCTGGGAAGGAAGCAGGCTGGCAGGCTGGGAAGGAGGCAGGCTGGGAAGGAGGCAGGCAGGAGGCTGGGAAGGAAGCAGGCTGGGAGGCTGGCAAGGAGGCAGGCTGGGAAGGAGGCAGGCTGGCAGGCTGGGAAGGAGGCAGGCTGGCAGGCTGGGAAGGAGGCAGGCTGGCAGGCTGGGAAGGAGGCAGGCTGGCAGGCTGGGAAGGAGGCAGGCTGGCAGGCTGGGAAGGAGGCAGGCTGGCAGGCTGGGAAGGAGGCAGGCTGGCAGGCTGGGAAGGAGGCAAGCTGGCAGGCTGGGAAGGAGGCAGGCTGGCAGGCTGGGAAGGAGGCAGGCTGGCAGGCTGGGAAGGAGGCAGGCTGGGAAGGAGGCAGGCTGGGAAGGAGGCAGGCTTGGAAGGAGGCAGGCTGGCAGGCTGGGAAGGAGGCAGGCTGGCAGGCTGGGAAGGAGGCAGGCTGGCAGGCTGGGAAGGAGGCAGGCTGGGAAGGAGGCAGGCTGGGAAGGAGGCAGGCTGGGAAGGAGGCAGGCTTGGAAGGAGGCAGGCTGGGAAGGAGGCAGGCTGGGAAGGAGGCAGGCTGGGAAGGAGGCAGGCTTGGAAGGAGGCAGGCTGGGAAGGAGGCAGGCTGGGAAGGAGGCAGGCTGGCAGGCTGGGAAGGAGGCAGGCTGGCAGGCTGGGAAGGAGGCAGGCAGGCAGGCTGGGAAGGAGGCAGGCTGGGAAGGAGGCAGGCTGGGAAGGAAGCAGGCTGGCAGGGTGGGAAGGAGGCAGGCAGGCAGGAAGCGATATATGGGTGTTGAAGTGAACTGTGAACCACGTGACCTTTGAGAGTGTGTGTGTGTGTGTGTATGGGTTTGGGGTGGGGGGTGGGGGTGGTGTGTCGGTGGTGGGGGGAGAGGGGGAGGTGTGTCGGTGGTGGGGGGAGAGGGGGAGGTGTGTCGGTGGTGGGGGGAGAGGGGGAGGTGTGTCGGTGGTGGGGGGAGAGGGGGAGGTGTGTTGGTGGTGGGGGAGGGACCGGCTGACTCCGTAAGCCTAACCACACTCCACAGACCTGTGACCCAGATTTGTTTCTTAAATGTACAGTACATCATCGTATATTTTAGGCAGGATGTGCCTGCAGGCTGGCAGGAAACATCCAGAGGATGTTTGCCAGACGTCTTAATAATCAGTTAGGAACAATTAAGGACTTTTATAAAGCGGATCAGGACTTCACTTATTGATGAGTACAAACAAAACACGGTCGCATTTACGCCATGAACCTGACGATTTTTTTCCCTAGAGTTTTTTTCATAAATTTTTCGGAAAAATTTCTTTTTACATTTCTAGTTTATTTTTCCCCTCTATTTCTCGTATACGAACTTACATGTTAACTGACGGGTCTCGTCCCCAAGGGGTTCGGAAACCAAGTGGTGCTCTGTAAATATATCACACTACACACTATTGAATAATATTACAGCAAAAAACTATGAAAAAATAAATCAGAGACATTGAAATAATTAGGTAATTATCTCTTTGTGGCCACTCCTGCCTGACAGCTGGCAAGCAACAGACCGTCTGGGATGCACGCTGAGTCTGCGTCTGTTTTTTGCCAGACTTCCCCGCCCTATAGCGGGGAATATATGCCACTTACGATTTTTTTATTATTTTTCCCATGATCAGAGAACACAAATTAACAGGTTTAGAAGAAAAAATAATATACAGTATATATATTTTTTTTTTGGTATGCACCTGTGGGTGACAAATGCTAACTAGCCCTGAGCATCACAAGGGTTACTGTATTGCACGGTATCGGTAATGTTACTCAAATCATCTATACAGTACTGTATATGTATTGTGCAGTCTAATGGTTAAGAAAAAAAATTGAACAAATTTGAAGAAAGAACAAATGTCATAAAGGTTCGTTCAGTGTGTCAGATAGGCTGCTCCATTATGACAATCTTTTTTTGTTTCAATTGTGTTCAATTTGTTTTGTATTTTTCATTTATTTATTAAGAATGAAGCAGCTTATCTGGCACACACTGAACGAACCTTTATGACATTTGTTCTTTTTTCAAATTTGTTCAATTTTTTTTTTTATTTTACAAAGAAAATTCAATGCCTTGCAATATTACAGCAGTCACCCCTTTACATCCCAGCATCATTAGCATCTTTAAACAAAAACAATAATTTATTTGCATCATCAAAGGCGTCCGAGAATGTGCGAGAAGCAACGGGAATGCACCATGTGGTTTTCTCGTTAATCAAACGAGCGCTCGCTAATCGAGACACATTGTCGGCGATCGGCGAGCTCGTTATTTAAAATGCTCGTAAATTGAGGCGCTCGTCACTCGAGGTTCCACTGTAAATAGGAGGCGCCTCGTATGTAGCTGTGACAGTTTTCATCATTCTTATGGTTTTATGTATACAGTAGTAGAGTACTGTATTCCTATTGAGATAAACACTTGCTATAGGGGCAGGTGATACTTTCTTAATTGGCTGTGATCAAAACAGCAAACTATGATTGTTCCTAGTAATTGTGATATTGGTTCTGCTTTCAGTTCAGTTTTGCTTTTCCATTTTTCACAGGTTTTTCTTTTATAAAATCAGTTATTCACATTTTGTTTTATTGAGATTGTTGTAATGCAGTGTAATTAAATGGATGTATTTATTTTTCAGAAAAGTGTAGTAGCTGGTAACACAGATTTAACTTTATCACAGAAAAGCAAAATGGCTCAAAGAAAAGCTCATAAGGTTGAGGATAGAGAGAGGACAGATGATATTCATATAGAAGAAAGTGTGGACTTTAATGGTATGTACTTATCAGACCATGTACAGCAGGGATTAAAATCTTCAGGTTTTGAACGGCCAAGTCCTATCCAATTGGCTGCCATTCCTCTTGGCCGATGTGGGCTGGACTTGGTGGTACAAGCAAAGAGTGGTACTGGCAAAACATGTGTTTTTACTGTCATTGCATTGGAAATGATAAGTGTATCTGCTCCAACAACCCAAGTTCTTGTTATTGCACCAACTCGTGAAATAGCTGTGCAGATAACTCAAGTGATCAATGCAATTGGTAGTACTATGCCGAGACTAAGAGCCTTCACCTTTATTGGTGGGATTCATTTGTCCGAAGACAAAGCTAAACTTAACTGCTGTCACATAGCAGTAGGAACCCCAGGGCGCCTAACTCAACTTGTTGAACTAGGACTTCTTAAAGTAGATAATATAAGACTGTTTGTTTTGGATGAAGCTGATCAGCTTCTCACTGGTCAGTTTACAGAAAGTGTAGTTCACTTGGCTTCTGCCTTGCCACTAAATAAACAAATAATAGCACTTAGTGCAACATACACTGAAGATGTTGCTAAAGTTGCAGAAGGACTTATGCGATCACCAAACCATGTTCGACTTGGGAGAGAGTCGCCTGCCCTTCTTGGTGTTAATCAATTTGTGAGATTACTTCCATATCATCATCAACCATACCGTAGGCAACAGATCAAATTTACGGAACTTATGGCTCTTCTTGCCACAGTAACATTTAATCAGTGTCTTGTATTCTCAAGCTCTCAGTTGCGTGCTGAATCCATTTGCAATGCATTAAAAGCATCAGGATGGCCAGTTTCTTATCTGACTGGTGGTCAGACACAGAGTGATCGTTTACAGGCACTGGAAGCACTGTGTTCATATAAGTGCAGAGTCCTAGTATCAACTGATCTCTCTGCCCGTGGTTTGGATTCTGAACATGTTAATCTCGTTGTCAATCTTGACATGCCACGAGATCATGCAACATATCTTCACCGTATAGGACGTGCAGGCCGTTTTGGTTCACGAGGTGGTGCCATTACACTTGTCACAGAAGGAGAGGAATGGCAGGCTATGAGGGCTATTGCATCTCTGGCAAATGTTCGTGTATATCTTCTACAAGACGGCTGGAAGTCCAGCATTGCCAATAATGATACTAAAAGTATGGAGGAATTGGAATTCTTATCTGATGATGAACTGCAGCTATGGCTAAAGAACAATTCTTCCCAGGTGTATGGAAGCAAAAGTAATGATAAAACTAAGGAAGCAGTGGAGAAGGAAAGTAAAGGTAATGGAAAAGCTGCTAAATTAAGAGAAAAGACCACCATCAAAGATACAAATGAATCATTAGAGGATTCTGGTAAAGAAAACAGAGGGGATAATACAAACTCCAAACAGAATTCTTGCAATTCAAAGAACTTTAACAAGTCAAAAGAAGTTAACAACACAAACAGTAAGGTCACAATGACTGACAAGAAAAATAGGAATAGGCAAACTAAAGATCAACAAGATCAACATAGAGAGATTGAAAACAAGAGAAAAGCGACAGTGGCTAGAAAAAGGGAAGCGGCAGCAGCTCGAATTAAAGAAGAAAATTACCACAGGGTTTTAACTCTGTTAGAGGGGATCAATAATCAACACACTTCAGTGAGTATATCCTATTCAAATATAGAATCACAATGCTTAGGAGAGTATGACAGTATTTCAGCTGTTGATAATCCAAACATACAAGTACCATCTTTGCCATTTACTCTAAACTCAACTAAAACTGATTTTGAGGCACTTGATGATTACTCGAAGACTGTTCAAGAAGAACACGAACAGAAAGTAATTTGTGTTGATGAAATGTGGGTAGATAGTGGAACTGTCATTCATGAAGGTTTGGATGCATTAATTGAAGGAAACGATGCTCTGACAGTTTTAAACAAAGATAAAGAAGGAACATGTAGAATGACAAATGAACAAACATCGGTATCATTGGCTCAAGAAAATGGCTTCTTTTATGGAGACGCTTGTGAAAATCCCATTAGCAATGATGTAACAGCAATAAATGTGCCAATGAATGTCCATGAAAGTGAAGGCAAACATACAATCAATGAAGTACAAAAATCATCAAAGCCATGTCATTCAACTGTGATATCAGGTAGTGATGCCACTGATTATTCTAATCCTAAAAATAGGAGAGAAAAAATACCTTCAAAATCAAAGGGTTTGAGACAAAATGGGCATACCAGACGTAATGAAAAAGAAGTAAATATGTACAAGTATCATGACACCAGCAACATGCAACATAGGGAAACAAGACATAGTAAGAATTGGGCATCATTTGCTGTCCCAGACAAGAGTCAGGTGCACACTTCAAGTGACTATGATAATAAACACTGGGGTCATTGGCATGGTGGAACTCGGTCAGTACACGACTCTTATAAAACCCAGAAATGCCATAATAGCAGCAATACCCCTAAGCAGTATAATCATTCTCATTTAAACAAAAACTCTGGTAATCCACAATTTAGAACTTGTGGAAATTGCAAATCATTTGAAAACAGTCACCTGCCTCGACTAGATAGTGACAATTATTGCAATAACTATGCAAATTATTCACAGGATTACTCTTCTTCTGCTTACTGGAAGGAAAGAGCCTATATAGAAAGTGCCCATAAATTTGCATCCATGTTGGATTATGTTCAGACTATGGGAAGAATGAGTGCATGGATGGCCCAAGACTTTCACAAACGTAATAAGGAAAGTGAGAGTTAGAGAACAAGATTGTGAATGTGTTTGTAATTAAAGCAGAAAAATAGGCAAGAAGTTTTGATTATATTAAACACTGTATAAAATTTTCATTATGGTTAAAGAATTATGGAAACAATATCTGTTGCTTAAGTTTACACACACTCTTTTTTACTTTCGTTGTAAATTTAAAAATCTATTTTAATACTGTATTTGTTTTAGGTGAAATTGCCATTTAATACAATTTCTTGAACTTTGATAGTGTTAATTAAACATAACAAATTAAGGATGCCGAAAAGATGCGGGAGAAAGTTGGCCAATATTTGTACCGGTACTAAAGTGGTGCGGACCATAGACTCTAGTGCGGCACCTTGTGTAACAGTGAGCTCATACTTTGTTGAGTCAAATAGGGATTTGGACCAGAATAATGGTTGTGAGACTGTTAATGTGATGGTAGATAATGTAGGAGGAAGTGAAGAGAAAATATACCCATTGGAAGAGAGAGAAAGAAGTAGGAATAGTTTGTTGAGAAATACAGGTGTAACTGGAGATGCTGAGTCTTCAGAAGGAAGTATTGCTGAAGGTTCAAGATTGTCAGAAGACTTCTATGATCAAGACAGTGTTGCTTTGGCTAAAGCTCTTCTAGGTAAGTGAAAATTACAAGTTTTTATTTTATGTATTGTATAGTTGTATATTTATAATACTGTACTAAGATTAAATGAAACTTGAATAAAAAATAAGCTTACAATAATAGTATAGTGATGTAGTCATTCACATTGTACACTTAAATTTTTGTTGACTGCAAATTCATAATTTTTTCTGGGGGGAGCCCCTATGGCTCCCCAGAGCTATCCATGGCTGATATGGATACCCTAACTATTTTGCATCAGTTGATGTGGGTGGAGTTCTAGGCCTACCGGGGACCACGAGCCAGAACCTGGCCCCCTCGGAGAGGCACGGGGAGCAATGGCCCATAGAAATGCACATGTGATTTGGAGTATTCTATATCTGCCATCGACCGGGACAGGCACCCAGAAAGGTAAGCGCCACAAAAACCCTTATTCTGGTTAACAACAAAAATCGACAAACGAGTGGACAGAACTCCCTCAGGAAAACGAACTAACAAGCATGACGTCACACGAGCCGCGCCACAGGTCTATTCTATAAATTCATAAACAACAAATTGCAGGTAAAGGATAATATTCAGAGGTTGAAAATGGGAAATAGATTCACGGAAGATGAAAAGGAAATGTGTGAAACACTAAACGAAAAGTTCCAAAGTGTGTTTGTACAAAATGAAATCTTTAGGGAACCAGATACAATAAGAATTCCAGAGAACAACATAGAACACATAGAGGTGTCTAGAGACGAAGTGGAAAAAATGCTCAAGGAGCTCAGTAAGAACAAAGCAGCTGGCCCAGATGGCGTTTCACCATGGGTTCTGAGAGAATGTGCATCTGAGCTCAGCATTCCACTTCACCTGATCTTTCAGGCATCCCTGTGTACAGGAATCGTAGCAGACGGGTGGAAACAGGCTAACATAGTTCCAATCTACAAAAGTGGCAGCAGGGAAGACCCCCTCAATTATAGACCTGTATCATTGACAAGTGTAATAGTGAAAGTATTGGAAAAACTAATCAAAACTAAATGGGTAGAACACCTAGAGAGAAATGATATAATATCAGACAGACAGTATGGTTTTCGATCTGGAAGATCCTGTGTATCGAATTTACTCAGTTTCTATGATCGAGCCACAGAGATATTACAGGAAAGAGATGGTTGGGTTGACTGCATCTATCTGGACCTAAAAAAGGCTTTCGACAGAGTTCCACATAAGAGGTTGTTCTGGAAACTGGAAAATATTGGAGGGGTGACAGGTAAGCTTCTATCATGGATGAAAAATTTTCTGACTGATAGAAAAATGAGGGCAGTAATCAGAGGCAATGTATCAGAATGGAGAAATGTCACAAGTGGAGTACCACAGGGTTCAGTTCTTGCACCAGTGATGTTTATTGTGTACATAAATGATCTACCAGTTGGTATACAGAATTATATGAACATGTTTGCTGATGATGCTAAGATAATAGGAAGGATAAGAAATTTAGATGACTGTCATGCCCTTCAAAAAGACCTGGACAAAATAAGTATATGGAGCACCACTTGGCAAATGGAATTTAATGTTAATAAATGTCTTGTTATGGAATGTGGAATAGGAGAACATAGACCCCACACAACCTATATATTATGTGAGAAATCTTTAAAGAATTCTGATAAAGAAAGAGATCTAGGAGTGGTTCTAGATAGAAAACTATCACCTGAGGACCACATAAAGAATATTGTGCAAGGAGCCTATGCTATGCTTTCTAACTTCAGAATTGCATTTAAATACATGGATGGCGATATACTAAAGAAATTGTTCATGACTTTTGTTAGGCCAAAGCTTGAATATGCAGCTGTTGTGTGGTGCCCATATCTTAAGAAGCACATCAACAAACTGGAAAAGGTGCAAAGACATGCTACTAAGTGGCTCCCAGAACTGAAGGGCAAGAGCTACGAGGAGAGGTTAGAAGCATTAAATATGCCAAAACTAGAAGACAGAAGAAAAAGAGGTGATATGATCACTACATACAAAATAGTAACAGGAATTGATAAAATCGACAGGGAAGACTTCCTGAGACCTGGAATTTCAAGAACAAGAGGTCATAGATTTAAACTAGCTAAACACAGATGCCGAAGAAATATAAGAAAATTCACCTTCGCAAATAGTGGTAGACGGTTGGAACAAGTTAAGTGAGAAGGTGGTGGAGGCCAAGACCGTCAGTAGTTTCAAAGCGTTATATGACAAAGAGTGCTGGGAAGACGGGACACCACGAGCGTAGCTCTCATCCTGTAACTACACTTAGGTAATTACACTTAGGTAATTACATGTCATGTCTGCGCAGCTCCCCCCTCCCCGGGAGGGGGAAGGGGGAGCCCCAGACCCCCGCGCCGGCGATCCCCGCCTCAGTTCCTCGGCTGATGGGATAATGCACGGTCGTAAGGCTCCAGCTCCGATCTTGTCAGTGCTGTGACTTGTTTGCAGTGCTGCTCTTACGGTGGTCGTGTGAGCTGGGAGTAGTATTCTCAGGTACTCGGGCTGCATGTGCTTAGGGTCACCTTCCCTGAGTGCCCTGTAAGTACCGCCCTTGTTGCTTGGGGTTGCCTTTCACAAGCCACCTTGGGTCTACCTCTGTTGGCTTTTCGCTGCTTGGTGTTTGGCCGCCCCGAGTGTTTGGGGGTTTTACTCCCTTGTTTACCTTGGGGTAAGTGGTAGTTATCGCACTGGTGGGGCGCAGGGTACTGCGTAGCTAGGTTTTACCTATGACAGCGGCCGGCTCTGTTCCCTCTGGGTACGTTGTCCACTTGTGTGGTTTTTCTTTTATATTTGTTTTTGCCTGGTAGGGGGGTCTGCCTTGTGTTCCCCCTCATTATATTAGGTTCGTTTGTGTGGTGGCACCCCCTGCTTCGCTCTCACGGGTGGACACGTCCCATGGGTTCAGCTTTAGCAGTTTGCTTGGTAGTTTGGGGTGCCGGTTAGCAGTGCCCTGCCTGGGATAACCCTTAGCAGACCCAGTCTAGGGGCCCTGGGAAACCCCCCGGGGGCTCTCGGGTCCGATAGTGGAGACTCTTGCGTCCCCTCTCGCTTTGTGCGAGTTGAGGGTTGCTCTGTTCCTTTGTCTCAGGGTGACTCTCCTTGTTTTTGCCTCCGTCATGCTGCCTGTTGGGTCGGTGACACATTCGACCCTGAGTCCTGCGAGCTTTGTTGCTTGTTCGTGATTCCATTCACCCAGTCTGCTGAGGAATTCCCGCGGGTGCAGGCAGCTCGCGCATTGCAGGGTAGGATGTTGCAACGCGTTGAGGTTTGTCGCTTCCCCGGACGCCCCAATGCTGCCCCGCTTGTGTAGGGATCCAGACTTGGGGGTTTTGGTCGCTTCGGCCTTGGTTCTTCCACGCCCCCCTTGTTTTTCCCCCTTCTGCTTCCGGCCCCTACACATCTGCAGGCTTCGGGGTCGGGGCGGGGTTAGAGGTTCTGAGACTTGGGCAGTTTTGGGGGTTGCCCCGTCCGGGGTAGCTGCGGAGGCATTCGAGTCTGTTCCTCCGGCCGATGCTCCGGGGTCTGACCAGTGGGCCCCTTCTCTTCCAGCTCTCTTGGCTGCCCCGGCTTTTTCTTGTGGGGCCGGGGCTTTAGAAGTCGACTCGACCCCGGGGCCTGGTGTGGAGGCTCCTGGGGTTGGGGAGGAGCGGCCTTGGGGACCTTGGGCTCCATTGCACCCCGCCTGGATTTCCGTCCTTCTGAGCGGGGCTTACTGTTGCGAGGAGTGGGGTTTTCTTTCCCCCCCTCTGCGTACGATTTAGGCTTGGGTTCTGCTCCTCCCCAGGTTTGGTTCCGTGTCCCTGTGGTTTCTTCGGTTCCGTCTTCCGGAGGTTTTCGGCTAACCACATCTCTTCGCCTGCGGTGCGGTTGGCTTTTGCGGCTTGTCTCCTGCGTATCCTGGAGTTTGCCTCCATACTGGTTCCTTCTGTTCTGGACAGTTTGGACTCCTTGTAGCCGTTTGGGCTCCTTGTAGCCGTTTGGGCTCCTTGTAGCCGTTTGGGCTCCTTGTAGCTGTTTGGGCTCCAGGTAGCAGTTTGGGCTCCAGGTAGCAGTTTGGGCTCCTGGTAGCAGTTTGGGCTTCTTTGTAGCAGTTTGGGCTCCTTTGTAGCCGTTTGGGCTCCTTTGTAGCCGTTTGGGCTCCTTTGTAGCCGTTTGGGCTCCTTTGTAGCTGGTTGGGCTGCTTCTCGCCTTGTTGGGCTGCTTCTCGCCTTGTTGGGCTCCTTGTAGCCAGTTGGGCTACTTCTCGCCTTGTTGGGCTACTTCTCGCCTTGTTGGGCTACTTCTCGTCAGGTTGGGCTACTTCTCGCCTGGTTGGGTTACTTCTCGCCTGGTTGGGCTACTTCTCGCCTGGTTGGGCTACTTCTCGCCTGGTTGGGCTACTTTTCTTTCGCATCCCGCGCGTGCGCTGTAGGAGTTTGTTTTGGTTCCGGGCGGTGTGCACAAGTGTTCTGCATCCATTTTCTCTCAGGGGGGCTTCGCCTCTCGCTCTTTTCTTAATCCAATCCGTGCCCCGTTGCTTTGGGGGTGTTCTGGGGTGCTGCTGTGGGGGAAGTCACGAGGTTTTTCCCTGCCTTCTGGGGTGGGGAGCCTCCTTCGCCGCTCCCCTCCTCTCCAGCATGGGTGCCCTGGCCGCCTCCGGCGGCTACGGACTCGAAAGCTTGTGTCATGGCCCTTCAGCGCCTATGTTCTGCAGGTGAGTTGGTGCAGTTTGGCGTTTCCTTCGTCCTGACGCTGTTTTTGTTTTTGGCAGTAGGAATGGGTGTACATACGTACTTGAGAACGTGGACCGTATCATCCAAGGTGCCTACTGCGGGGCTATTAGCCCATCCTGGGCAGCTCTTGTTCTCTCCACCTGCTGTTTCCTCGGTTCATGGGTGTCTGCGGGTGGCCTCTTGGCCCTTCCGAGGCGGCTCCTGCCTGTACTCCTCCTGCCCCTCTCCTATGCTAGTCTAACCTTGCTTGAGTTCGGGGCCCCGCCTCCACCTTGTTCCGCAGTGCAACAGTGGGGGTGCCTGTTCGGTGGTACGTTTTCCTGCGTCGAAGGTGTTTTGTGCTCGCCTCCTTGTGCTTGCAGGATCGGGTTCTGGCTCTTTGGTTCCACCTCTTCCCTGTCGTTTGCATGTCGGTGGATTCTGTGCTTTATGGGCGCTCTCGTCTCTGTTCTTGGGGCTGTGTATGGGGGTCAGCCCAAGTTGGGCTGCCTAATGTGTTTCCTTCGATTGCCTGTTACGCTGCACACGTTTCTTCTACCGTCTCTGTGGCTCAGTTGGGTGCTTGGTTTCCACCTGTGTTCCCTGGTGTGCCACTCGTGTACGATTTATCTATCTTCTGTCGCTGCCTCGGGGAGTGTAGTGACGTTTTGCTGCGGTTTTGGTACTGCAGCTGCGTGTCGGGGTTGGTTGTGTTCGGCCCTTCCGTGCTCCCTCTGGGGTTCTCCTTCCTTGCCGGTCTTGCTGTGCCGGGCCTGGTTTTTCCATGTTCCTTGGATTCTCTGTCTTGTCCTCGCCTCGTTGTGCTGGCTGGGGATGAGCTTGGGGTCTTCGTCTCGCCCTTCGCCTATCCTCCGGTTTCAGTTCAAGTTCCAGAGCCTAGTGGGCTCCCTTCCTTTGTGTTTTCACGGCTGCCCCGGGGTTTTTCTTGACACTGGGGCTTTGAGGGGACAGCTCGGCCCCGGGGCCTGCAGGGTGGGTTCCCGGGGCTGGGGTGGGGCTAACGTGAGAGGCCTCAGGCCCTGTTGGTCCCCGCCGGGGCATTTCTACCCCTCTGGGCGGGGCTTGCAGTTTTGTGGTGTGGGGTTTTTCCGTTCCCCCTCTCCGCACGTGCTTTGTGGGCGTCGGCCCCTCCCTAGGCTCGGTTTCCTTGTCCGTTGTGCCCGTTGTTTCCGTCCTGTCAGTGGGTGCTTTTCTACGGTCTTCACCCCTTTTTTCCAGGACGGGCCTTCTCCGTCATGTCCACCTCTTCTTGGGGTTTTCTGCACGACTTTTGGTCTCGGGTGCGACGGGGTTTTTGTGCCTTCGTCCTTTGTGTTTGCTTCTTTTTGTTCTTGATGGTTCGGGACGGTTTTGCTCCTTCCCGTTTTCTGGTACGTCTGCCATCATTCGGTTGAGCTTCCCTCCGGTCCTTTCTAGGGCTTGTGGGTCCTCTTCCCGGCAGCTTCTGGGTGTTTGACCTTCTTGTTCTTTTGTGCATATATCTTCTCTTCGCGCTGTCTCGGCGCTACTCATTTTCCTGGGGGCGATTTTGCTCCTCTTAATGAGTCTTTTCGACCCTGTCCTTCTGCGGGATGTTGGTGCGGAGCGGCTCCGTTTGCGAGTTCCTTCCCTGTCAGCTGCACTTGTGGCGGTGGACTTGCACGCTTGTGGCATTTTAGTTTTGGTCCTGCGTTTTCTTTTCCCTCCTGGGGCTGTCATAGGATTGGCTTGCGGAGGATGTAGAGGCGCTTGGGGCCGTTCCTGGGTCTGGCACCTTGGTTTCTGCTGCTTGCTTTCGGTATCGATGTTCCTTCTGCGCCGTTTAGCAGGCTGTCTCGTGCATTGTTTCACCTCCGGCCTGCTTATGCACTGCCTGTGCCGTCCTGGTCTTTGGACGCGGTGCTCTCCTGTTTTTCTTCTTGGTGGTTGTGGCTCCTTGGGGTCAGGTTTGCTTTGCCTCGGCTGTCTTTTTATGTTGGCATTAGCCTCTGGGGGTCGTACGGCGGAGCTTCATGCTCTTCTCAGGCGCAGTAGTTTTTGGCTCCTATGGTCGTGGTCTTAGGTTTCTTCATCTGCGGCCGTTCTCCCTTTTTCTGGCGAATGATGTGCCTGCTGCTTTCCGGAGGGGTCCTTGGGTTGTTGTCTCGGCTTCGTGTTGAGGAGTGGTTCACCGACCGCCTCCCGGGTATATCCCCTTGTTTTCTTAGGTAGTCTTTGGTGAAGTAGCTCCGGGGAGCCGTAGGGTCTCCCCCCAGAAAACCAGCGTTGAATGTAATGAAACGCCATTTTCTGGGTGAGTCCTGGAGGCTACCCGGCACCCTCCCCCCTCCGGTCGGCGTTTTTTTTCGCGGTTTTGATATCCAGCATCGGAACTGGGGCGGGGATCGCCGGCGCGGGGGTCTGGGGCTCCCCCTTCCCCCTCCCAGGGAGGGGGGAGCTGCGCAGACATGACATGTGGCGCGGCTCGTGTGACGTCATGCTTGTTAGTTCGTTTTCCTGGGGGAGATCTGTCCACTCGTTTGTCGATTTTTGTTGTTAACCAGAATAGGGGTTTGTTTTGTGGCGCTTACCTTTCTGGGTGCCTGTCCCGGTTGATGGCAGATATAGAATGCTCCAAATCACATGTGCATTTCTGCATTTCTATGGGCCGTTGCTCCCCGTGCCTCTCTGAGGGGGGCCAGGTTCTGGCTCGTGGTCCCCGGTAGGCCTAGAACTCCACCCACATCGACTGATGCAAAATAGTTAGGGTATCCATATCAGCCATGGATAGCTCCGGGGACCCTCCGGAACTCACCCAGAAAATGGCGTTTCATTACATTCAACGCTGTTTTTTTTTTTTTTTATTTTGACTCCAAAGTTCTTTGCCATGAGTTATACATGAGGTAGTTTAAAGTTTATAAGATATAAACTGTAGTTTAAAGATATCATTGCCTTAATTATTTCTTGAGTGGTGCTGTGTCCTATACTGGGGAAAGGAGAAAACATGATCAGTAAGGTGATGGTACTGTGCTAATCTGAGTAATTTTCAATAGGTCAAGTTGTTGTCAGAGTGGTGGAGGGTGCACGTATTTCTGGAATAATTGTAGAAACGGAAAGTTATCTTGGTGGTGCAGATGCAGCCTCTCATAGTTTCAATGGGAAAAGAACCGCCAGAACAGAACCAATGTACATGAAACCAGGAACTTCATATGTATACTCAATTTATGGAATGTACTACTGCTTCAATATCTCTAGTAAAGGTGAGCCGAGTGTTAATATATTTGATAAGTGTGTTATTTTTGCACGACTATGGCGGGGCCAAATGGAGGTTCCGTGAAGTTAGCTCACAGAGTTGGCTCGGACATGAGTCATATCAGTCTTCAATGTCCTTAATGGCTTACCAGAGCCTGAGCCTGGCCTTCCTCACAGAGGCACAGGTAGCCAAGGATTGTTACAGTCACCTGCATCAAGGAAATATCCAGAAAGTAAATGAAGCAGACAAGCTTCAAGGTTCACAAAAAGAAGAGAAACAAAGCAAACACAGCAACAAACAATCCACCCAGTAATTAGGTGGAATCTCCTAGTTACACCCAAGCACTGCCAGGTGGCAACACCACTTACAGCTCCAAAACCTGTTTTCAAAAAGACTTTGGTCCTGTTGCTGATGTGCCAATGTGTGGACCACTCCTTGAGTCACCAGCTTTAGTGGGTCTCTCTCTGTTTTTGGATTTGGCACAATTGGTTTTTCTTCTGGTGCCATGTTTGCTACTTCATTTGTCCATCTGTCTTGGTTTGAGGTACTGACCCCTTTTGCTCCCCCCTCCTCTCCCCCTCACCTCCCCCCATCTCATTCTTTTTGCTTGAGGATGTCTGAGGGTTTCAGTGTGGTCTGCAGTTGCTGTAAGAGTAGCTTGGAGAGTTGAGCTGTTGAATCCCACTTGGGGTGTGTAACTGTTTGTTTGTCTGGAGGGAAACTTTGGATTTGGATCAAATCCTTTGAGACTTTGGTGATGCCTTCCTATCTATCGTCATTGAGTATTGAACTCGGCTCTTTCCCGGGGTATTAATTTTGGGCTTCTGGGGTGGGTCCCCTTGGTTCCTACCCTCAGACACATGATATCTGCAAGTTTGTGATTTAGCTTGCAGTGTTTTCCCAACATGTCATGGGCTGATATTTTTGGGCTTGGGGATGGTGGGGGGGGGGCATTTGGAGGTCTTAACAGTGTTGTAGCGGCTTGTTACCTGGTTCCCATCAGCTTCAGGTTTCCCCATCCAAGGTTCACTTCTTTGAGGATGTAGTCTTCGCTCGCCTCCTCCCCGGTAAGTCCTGGTTTTACCTTCTGCTCTGTGGTTTCCTTCTACAGTGAGCCACCATTTGGCCTCTCCAGAAAACCAACATTGGCTTGAATGAAATGCCTTGGTCTGGTACCTTGTTTCCCCTTCCAGGTATGTCAGTATGTGGTTTTTAGCTCCAGATTGAGCTTTGTTAACGTGTGGAGCCAGATGTTTTGTTTCACTTACTTTCTGGATGTTTCCTCTGTGAAGGTGATTGTTACGTACCATCTACTATGGCTTGAGAATAGAACAGTATCCCACAAATTCCCCCACTTCATACACCGGCACAGAAAATGAGGACAATGAAAACGTGGACAGTGAACTAACTCTAGTGTATTTACAGGTCGTAACATACAAAAACTATCCCACACAATCATACAACTAAGTAACACCACGTAACTTGGTCAGAAATGGAGGCAGTCTCTCGTGCACACAGTTTTACTAAAACACAGTAATAAGAATTTCCCACTCTACTGGGGATACTAACTGAATGGCAATTTCACTCCAATACGTACAAACTCATTGAAAAAGACCTATATCCTAATACATTGACAAAAAACTTAACTTAATGGGGCTGAGGCCACAGAGATATCACTGGACCATGTCTCCACACCGCCTCCCAGTTGACAACTGACTCCAAACTCCTGCGCTTTTGCCTGCATTGGCTTGCATCCGAACGAAAGCATTAGGACGCCTAGGCCTAGTAATTCCCTGCTAGGCTATCTCTCCTAACTTTCATTCCTTTACTTAGAACTGTTAAACAAAACCAAACTGGTAAATACTGGGACAATATCTAAGCGAAGGAAACCATAATAATTAATTTACATAGTATCTAACATAGGTCTCCCCACACATCTGGGTGGAAGGCCTACCTACTTGTGTCTGTTGCCACATGCACACATGACTTGAGAGTAACATTACTGTTACACAAGACTAGACTTAATATACCCTCACAGGTGAACGGTATATGTAAATCAGCTTACATAAGGTAAACTTAACTGAAATACGTACTGACATACGCAAGAATTACAGTAACTGCCATGAGTAAAATTGGCAGCGGATCGCATGTCCGCCATGTGTGTGAGAGTGATGCTTTCGTCCCCTCAGCAACTGGGAATTCACTATAACCAAACAATACATAGGATGTTAAACATACTTGGCCAACCGCCAATTCATCCACACATCTGAACTATACGACTCCAGAACTCTGCAACATATCTCTGGGCCATGAAAAACTCAATCAAGTCTCGTGCATTCTCCATTTCACCTCACTCAATGACAAGGTTGGTAACTTCCTAATCCCTGATATCCGTCAGCCTCTCGAGGCAGCCTAGAGTACCACTTGACTCGTTACGGTTTGCGCTCTTGCGCGCTCTCACATATATATATCCATAAAACACACGAATACATGCCCTGACAACAATAACACCTCCAAATACTCTGTTCTGATGATAATAACAATAAATAATACAAGGCACAATCTTAGCATCTTCAATCTTAATGGTTAGTATACTAATTACTTATACTTAAATGTTACGAGTCAGTTAATCATTCACTCTGATTAACTGGTTCGTAACAGTGATCATACAGCCAGACCTCTAAAACAAAGACACAAAGTCCATTCCATGCACCTGCCAGACCCCGTGTTTATGAATGAAAAGCGATTTACACACGACTCGCAACTAATGACGTCCGAACACTTGCGGAACAAGTGCTTCACCGACGACTTTTGTTCGAACTACAATGCTATAAATGCTTCACCCACGTACTACAAATACAAATAATTGGCAACAGAACCTAAACACCTAACCTAGTGCCTAAATATACACAATATGCTAGCATATAATAATAATAATTTATATTTGAGAAAGGTTGGTTTGAATGAACAGAACGTTAAAATTGATGAATGCATCTTTGGGTTGACCGCTGAATAGGAAACCATCCTCAGACATGGTCTGAGGATGGGTTGGATCATAACAATCCCCTGCTCCAGGCACCTTTATGAGTTGGGGTTGACGGGACATTCTGGTCTCTGGAAGTCCATTAAGGACTCCTAAGGCTGATGTGGCATGTGTGTGGAGCTACCACAGCAAGCTTTTCATTACATTCAACACTTTTTATTCAATATTGTTGTCTCTTGATTATGAGATGCAAGTCTTGAATACAGTTATTGTAGCCAGTTGGCTAGGTAGGTAGGTACGATAGTTTGGAAAACATGAGGTACAGAGCTTTTCACGGTACTTAGACTCTTTTATTTGATTGAATGTTACTCTTTTTATTCTGTTTGACAGTCAATTGAATATCCATCATCCTACTTTACCTGTTACAGAGCACCACTTGGTTTTCGAACTTTAATTATCCGAAACTTCCAGTTTCCCGATTGGGGTTGGGGAGTAGGAAGGGGTCTGCCAAGCGTCACGCCGGCCTGTGGTGGTGGGTGGGAGATTGTCCAGTTTGCCCACTGTGACTTCACAGATTCACAGCCTATTATTCTTATTATTTTGAATTGTCATAAGGCTGGAATGTTCATTCTGTGCTTTTGTTTTACATATCTGCACAATCAAGAAACATCTGTGCACCATGTCGGCTCCAAATGCAGGCATTGCTTCAATGATGGCTGACCGGTGGGTGGATGGATGGGAGAGCTTAGGTGGGAGGCAGTATGAGAGAGGGGGGATAATTAGTCAGAAAGGGAGGGAGAGAGAGATGCTAGGAGGGAGGGGGAGGTAGGGAGAGATGTTAGGAGGGAGGGAGAGATGCTAGGAGGGAGGGGGAGGTAGGGAGAGATGCTAGGAGGTAGGCAGGAAGGGAGGGAAGTAGTGAGAATTGGGGAGGGAGGGAAAGGCAGGCAGGTTGACTGGCAGGCAGGCAGGCAGGCAAAGACAGGCAAGCAGGTTGGCAGGCAGGATGTGCCTGCAGGCTGGATGTGCCTGCAGGCTGGATGTGCCTGCAGGCTGGATGTGCCTGCAGGTTGGATGTTCCTGCAGGATGTGCCTGCAGGCTGGATGTTCCTGCAGGATGTGCCTGCAGGCAGGATGTGCCTGCAGGCAGGATGTGCCTGCAGGCTGGATGTTCCTGCAGGATGTGCCTGCAGGCTGGATGTTCCTGCAGGATGTGCCTGCAGGCTGGATGTGCCTGCAGGCTGGATGTTCCTGCAGGATGTGCCTGCAGGCTGGATGTTCCTGCAGGATGTGCCTGCAGGCTGGATGTTCCTGCAGGATGTGCCTGCAGGCTGGATGTTCCTGCAGGATGTGCCTGCAGGCTGGATGTGCCTGCAGGCAGGATGTGCCTGCAGGCTGGATGTTCCTGCAGGCTGGATGTGCCTGCAGGCTGGATGTTCCTGCAGGCTGGATGTGCCTGCAGGCTGGATGTGCCTGCAGGCTGGATGTTCCTGCAGGCTGGATGTTCCTGCAGGATGTGCCTGCAGGCTGGATGTTCCTGCTGGATGGATGTGCCTGCAGGCTGGATGTTCCTGCAGGATGTGCCTGCAGGCTGGATGTGCCTGCAGGCTGGATGTTCCTGCAGGCTGGATGTGCCTGCAGGCTGGATGTTCCTGCAGGATGTGCCTGCAGGCTGGATGTGCCTGCAGGCTGGATGTTCCTGCAGGCTGGCAGGCTGTGCCTGCAGGCTGGATGTTCCTGCAGGCTGGATGTTCCTGCAGGCTGGATGTGCCTGCAGGCTGGATGTGCCTGCAGGCAGGATGTGCCTGCAGGCTGGATGTTCCTGCAGGCTGGATGTGCCTGCAGGCTGGATGTGCCTGCAGGCAGGATGTGCCTGCAGGCTGGATGTTCCTGCAGGATGTGCCTGCAGGATGTGCCTGCAGGCTGGATGTTCCTGCAGGATGTGCCTGCAGGCTGGATGTTCCTGCAGGATGTGCCTGCAGGCTGGATGTTCCTGCAGGATGTGCCTGCAGGCTGGATGTTCC